CCCCCAAGACCCCACCCACCACTTGCTCTTCTCAACCCCCCCTCCCCTGCTTGCCCTTACGGCTGGTAAAAAGTGGTGGGCCCTAGCCCCCCCGATTCTGGCACTCCTGTGCTGTAAGAAGTCCTAAGGCCTGGTCTACACTTAAAAATTAGATCGACTTAGCTAAGGCATTCACGGCTGGGAAAAATGTTGCAGCTTGAACCCTGCAATTAGGTCTGCCTCCCCCCCAGTGTAGATGGGGATTGGTTGCTGGAAGAATTCTTCTGTCTACCTTGCTCCCCACCTCTCAGAGAGGCGGATTAATGGCGTCAATGGAAAAACCGCTGGCGTCACCGCAGGGAGCGTCTACACTACGGCGCTACGCCGGTGCGGCTGCAGCTCAGTAGCCGCGCAGCGGAAGCCTTTCTAGCGTAGACGCCCCCTCCGGCCTGAATGCACAAAAGGAGCTGGGCCTTGGGACACTCAGCGTCCCCATGGCTAGCTTTTAGATGCCTAGAAAATCGCTGCAATCCACAGAGCCTGAGCGAGGCTCCTATACAATGACTGGGGAGAGACAGCAGAAGCCAACTTTGCTAGGCAGGGAGCTGCCTAAGCTAGCCAGGGGGAGATGCCAAGGAGAAGGGGGCGAGCTAAGGGCTGTAACATCCAGCTATAGAGTCATTGCGGGGTGTGTGAGCCCTGGAGGCCACGCCCCTGCCATGGTACCACTGCCCAAAGCAGAGCGCTAGGTTTGAATCCTGCCCTCCCGTATGTCCCTTTGCCCTATTACTGCATCCACGTGCCAGTTACAGCCCGTGCAGTGCAAGCTGACTGCTTAGGGTATGTGACGTTATTGACGTGAACTGTGACTGTATAGATCCTTGTTGCAACCAAGGTCCTATGGTTGCACCAAAACTTGTACAAAGGAGGTCAAGGGAGGTGTCTATGAAAAGGTTGTAATTTCTGGGTTATGAATATGCAGTCTGTATGTGTGTATCATTTTTGTATTTGAAGTTATGAATATTGGCTATGGATTTGTATCTCAATGTGTTTGATTCTAAGTAGCCTCAGTGAAGCATTTGGTCAGCTTCTTGAGAAGAGACTATTCTGAGTAAATGCCCAATCAAGGAACACTTAACTGACAATGGACCTTGGGAGACTCCAATCCACATCTGAGGAACCTTCCTGGGAACGTTCAAGGGAGCATGTGAGCAATGGCTGCTGCCTGCAAACTGAGTCATGCATGGACATGTGACTTGCCCATGTGACTCCAAACTCCATCTTGCTGCTGTGATTTTCCACAGGGTACATCTACACTGCAGTAAACAGCCAAGACTGGCCCGTGCCAGCTGACAGGCTTGTAGGGCTTGGGCTAAGGGGCTGTTTAACTGCAGTGTAGACAGTCAGGCTTGGGCTGGAGCCTGAGCTCTGGGACCCTTCCACCTCGCAGGGTCCTTGTTGCAAAGGCTAAGGAGTAGAAAGGGTATAAGCACCAATGCCCCTGCAATCTGAGGATCTCTGGACACCATACGACTGACCAGCAAGTTCTTTCAGAACAGCACATTCGAGCCCTGGAAAGCAGTCTATGCGTTGATTGCAATGACAACGCTAGGGCAAGTGAGCACAGTCAGTAGCACTCACAGACAGACCCGCCCGACTGGAAAACATCTGTGGTTTCGACGGAGTGATGCACAAGTACTTTGTAACACTTCAGTGCTGAGCTTAAAATGACTTTTAGCTGCTCATTGATGTTCACCACCATCCATGGAAATTAACTTTTGAAATGCAGCCAGTTCAACCACTATGGAAATAACAGGCATGTGCTACTACGTGACCGACTGTATTTCATTTGAAAGTAATTGCAGATGCACAGAGCGCATCTTTATTTCTGTTCTTGAGTCATAAAGCACTTTTAATCAGTTTGCAGGCTGTAAGGATTAAAGACATTATTAGAACCTTTGTGTGCATGTCTCTAAAAGCGATTATTCAATGGGAGCTAGCTAAGAGTTACCACATATATGATAGGAGAAATGCTCAAAACCACAGATAGATTTTATTACAATGCGACAACAAAGGTTCGGATTTTTAAATATTGGTATCTTAGCTGTTGAATAAGAAATAAGGCGTGTGTTCTTACTAGTGAGGGTAATTAACAATTCTCAGGTTCAGGCTAGTCATGGATGAAAATATGCTGATACAGTTTGCCTGTGACACAAAGATTGGTCTGTTGCTCCATAAAGACAAGGACAAAGCATTGATACCGAGCGATCTGGATCAATAGGCAACCTGAGTGCAAGGAAACGTGTTTTAATACAGCCAAACGCAAGGTCATCGTTTGACAGATGGCAGTTTCCTGCAATATCTTTGGGAGGTATTACTATGTCATGCATATGTATCATTGTGGGCCAGGGCTTGTATGTCATTCCATGGGGGAGAGTGACCATAGTTCCTCCAGGAATTCAGAGCGGGGGGTGGGGGGGTGATTAGGCAAATTCACTCAGGTTGTGACAGCTACCCACCTGGAGAGACTCACATAAACTAGTTCAGACTGGATTCTCCAGTGACCCACAGACAAAGGACTTTTGGATAAACAGCCTGAGTTTAAATTGACTCAGGGCCTTCTTTCTGAGCCAGCAAATGGACAGAACCTTCTGTCCAAGGAGAGCCCCAATCTTTCCTGGGAAGAGTTGGATGGACTTTAATCTGCAGATCTCCATCAGACTGATGGGTGATCTCTGGTCTTTCATTGTTTTTAACATATTTTCTCAGTAATGCTTTCACTTTAAGAATAAATGTGCTTGCTTATAGGGGGCTGGGCGGTCACTTGTAACTGCTGGCAATTATGCTGGTCACAGCCTTTGAAGAGAAAGCAAAGTGTAGACACTGGTCTGTTTAGGCAGCCTGGCTTGCTGGGGATATCGCAGTGTAGGCTGGGAATTGTGCAGCCTGGAAAAACCCTAGTCAGGAGGGAGAGAGACGAAGGTCTCCGTGCAAGAAAGGTGACAGCTGAGGAGCTGGGAGCCTAGAGTGGTGCCCTCAAGGGACCATGAAGGGGAAATGTAGGTGCAGTTGCCCTGAACTGTGACATGTACATCTAGGAACAAAAATGTGGGTCACACTTACAGGATGGGGGCTGTATGCTAGAAAGCCGTGACTCGGATAACGACCGGGGTGTAATGTTAGACAACCAATTGCACCAGTGTGATGTGGTGACTAAGATGGAATCCTTGGATACACAAAGGGGAATATCAAGTAGGAGTAGGGTGGCGGTATGACCCCTGTATACAGCATTGGTGAGACCGTTAAAGGAATAGTGTGTCCATTCCTGGTGCCCATGCTTCAAAAAGGATGTTGAAAAATTGGCAAGAGTTCAGAGAAGCACCACAAGAATCATCAAGGTCTGGGAAACTCCTTACAATGAGAGACAACAGAAGCTCAATCCACTTAATTTATTGAACAGAAGATTAAGAGGCAACTTTATCCCAATCTATAATTACCTATCCCGGGAGAATGTATGTGAGAGGAGAGGGCTCTTTGATTTAGCAGGCAAAGGCAGAACAAGATCCAATGGCTGCGAATTGACGTGAGCAAAGTTCAAACTAGAAATTAGATACACGTTTGACTGTGAGGGTAGCTAACCATTGGACTAGATCACCCAGGGATGGGGCGGATTCTCCAGTACTTGGCATTTTTAAGTGACAATTGGAGGGCTTCCTGAAGGCTTTAGCCAAAGTCACTGGGCTCCATGAGGAATCTCTGGCCCATTCTGTGCTCTTCAAACCTGTTCATAGATCCCAAGGCCAGAAGGCGCCCTTGTGGTCGTCTAGTCTGACCCCCTGTATAACACAGGCCAGAGACCTGCCCCACAATAATTCCCAGAGCAGAGCTTTTAGAAAAACAGTCAATCTTGAGTTAAAAACTGTCACTGATGGAGAATCCACCATCACTCTATGAGTCGGTGCATCCATGAGTTTAATAGGCCTGGGGAGGCTGAGCCCCCACCAACACAGGCCATGCCCCCCTCACTGCATTTGGAGGCCCCGCCCTCACTCCCACTCTCCCCCAGAAGCCAGCAGGAGCTCAGCTCGGGCCAGAGGCCTGGAGCTCGGAGCTTGGCCAGCTGACAGCCCGGGGCGGTTCAGGCCAGCCTGGGGATCGGGCTGGTGCTCGGGCCAGCCGGTGGCCTGGGACTCAGGGCAGCAGGGGCGGGCGGGCTGTTTGGCCGGGGCTCCTCTGGCCATGGGGGTGGGCACTCAGGCCTCTGGCAGGTGGGGGAGTGGAAGGGGCCGGACTGGGGGGCTTTGGGGTTCATGCACCACCCCTGGGTGCATCTATTTGCGCATTCAGTCTTCAAGTAAGATTACTCCAGGAGCTAGTATTTGGTGTCACGTCCCTCGGCTCTGTGGTTCAGACTCAATAAATGGTTGCTGCTTTCAGGAGAAGCCTCGTTGTTTCCGGGAATCTGTAATTCATGAGCAGGACGGTGTTTTTCATTGACTGAATGTGACCCAAACGTCCTGCTGCTGGACTCTCTCAAAGGGCCCGGTAATGCAAATGCACACACACATTACAGATCTGGCTGTATGAGGATCTCATCTATTGCACTGGGTTATTAGAGACTATAGAGGGCTATATATTATACAGGGTTGTCTGTCTGTGACACTTCATTATAGGGGTCATTACACATGCACATCTCATTGGAAGAGGCCCTTTATACACACCACAGAGGGGGGATATTTACATAGGCAGTGTGTGGGGGGGTTGTTAGTGTTTAAAGTAGTCTGAAAAAACTGGGGGTCTGTTATCACCACACCCCTGCATGGCCCCCTGCCCAGCAATTAATTCTGCCCCCAAATTAATCCCGTCCCCTCTGTCCCATTATCCCCTCTGCCCCCCCCCAATCAATTCTGCAACCACCGCATGAAATCAGGCCTCGTTTTTTTTGGTTGCCAAGGTTACCAACAGTCACACAAGCTGCCTGTACCCCAGGCAGAGCCATGGGCCAGAGCTGGAGCACGTCCATGCGGCGCGAGGAGCTGGAGGAGTACCAGGTCAGGGGGGTTCGCGCTCTCTGCCTCGCGCCACCCACCTGTCTTCAAGGGCAGCTGTTGTGTGGGGCACCGTCCGCCCGGCCACCGCCCCAGTGTCCGTCTGATGGGATGAATCCCAGTGCCAAGAAGCCACGTTCCATGCAGCACAGACGTAGTGTCTGATGGGACCAACCCATGCACCCTGCCATGGTGGCTCTGGCACAGACGCCACCGTGCCAGACCACGGCGATGTGGGACACGGGGCTGAGTGTGAGCGCCCCCCCCCCCGGCCACACTCACAACCATCCCAGAAATCTCAGCAATGGGAGCTTAGCCAAGTGCCCCGTTTCAGCACAGTCCTCTTCCCCCAGTGACTCTAAGCTCAGATTCTCCAAGGGATTTAGGCACCGAACTCCCCTTGCCTCGCTCCCATTGATTTCAGTGGGGGTTAGGCGCCTGTGTCCTTTGAGGTTTGACCCCTCGAAGGATGGAGCCACAAGAGGGTGCTGTGTGTCGGGGGCGGGAGGGGGGTCCCTCAGCCCCTTTCCCACTGTGCCCTACATCTTCCGTTCCTGGTTCTCTGGCTGAAATGAACAGGCCCTGGCAGGCTGAGAACTTGTGGAGAGAGATCTCCGGTATAGCACAGTAAGGCCCGGGACAGAGGGAACCTGGGGAGCGGGGGTAGAGAGTTCAGGCTGGCAGCCAGGGGGCCGAGGGCAAAGAGATTGAGGCTGCCATCCCGGTAGGAGCGCAGGGGAGAGGGATTGGGGTCTGCCAACCCTTGTGAGAGGACTGAGGAGGTATCCTTGGGATTGGGAGCAGGGCGGGAGGCAGGCGTCTTGCTGGGGTGCCTGGGAAGAGACAGGAGCCTTGGTCCTCAGGGTGGGAATTCAATCATTGCTGTAATACTTTCTCTTCCCGGATCCAGACAGTGTGGGCTCCGAGACCCCAGAAGCCTGTGGAATAGCGTACCTGTGAGTGGGGTGGGGCCAGAGGGCATCTGGGGAGAACCACACGCTCTCTGAGCTCCGATCGCTGCGTAGGAAAACCCCCTGCCTTTGATACAGACTCTGCACATTCCAGGCGTCCCAGGAAAGCACCCGTCACATCCCAATGGCATTTGGGGAGAGACTCAGGCACTCGTGTTTGTATGATACTGTAGGGACACAGGATCAGTCGCGCTGGACCAAGCCTGTGGCCCATCATTTCCACTGTCCCATCTTCTGTGTATGAAGCATCAGAGAAAGGCAAAAAGAAAAAATAATCCTCTCCCATAATGCACCTGACCCATTGTGAAATGCTGTAGATGGGATGGGGAAGGGAAGTCCCCTTCCTGATCACTCTGTGCCCTGAAGCTTGAGAGTTGATGACCCCAACCCCACTACAGATGACTGCAAATATTACAATGTCTCTGTGTGATTACAGCAATTACTGCGAGGCAGAAAATTACCCGGCTCCCTTTGCAATGTCACTATGGCATGTGACGCCATCTTTCAACTACTTATGTTCTTATATTCAGGCTTCACTCAGGCAAAACGCCCACTGACCCATGGATAGCCTAAGGCCCAGCGGTGTGAGCCCACGTACAGGCTATTGTAGGAGGACATTTAAATGGGTTAGTTACTTTTTGAGTTCTAGTCGCACCCAGAGGTGCCGGCTAAGATTGGGGCCCCCTAGCGCTGGACTCCAAACAGTCACATAGCGAGAGACAGAGCATGAGCTGTTTAGGGCAGAGGCTAAATAGATAAGCCAGACAAAGAGCGGGAAGGAAAGTACTGTCATCCCTGTTGTCCAGAGGGGAAACTGAGGCACAGAGCGTGTAAGTGATTTGCCCAGGGTCTTGCAGGAAGCCTGTAGCAGAGCCAAGAATTGAACCAAGCTCTTTTGAGTCCAAGGCCAGTGCCGTACCCCACAAGATGACCTCCCGTCTAGCCAGTGACCCCAGTTTAGCACCGTGTCTATACACGCAGGGGGCTTAGATTACAGCTACTTTGGGATCTCTAGCTTTGTATGCCCTGACTTTTCTGAGAGTCAAGACTTGGCCTTTGTGAGGACTACATACGTGGGTGTGCCTGTGTGTCCATTAATGTATTAAGCCTTCAATTCAACTCCTGGCACTATCCACTTTTCCATGGACTATCCGGTGCCTTCGCTGACATCCCCCTGGTGCCAGTGTTCCCATTGGAGGTGAGTAATGCATCCCCACAGTAGCTTGCTGTGCAGGAGATGAAAGGCAGGGCGCAGGTTTGTACCCCGGCCTCACACAGCTCTAATTTATTGCAGGCACTCACGTTCCTGACAAGGGAGGAAATTGTACGGTAAGTGAAGCTTTAGGCTTTTTCCTTTCACTCCATCACTGCTGGCAGGCTGTGGATGTCACGTCTTCGGAGTGAATTTCGTGGTGATGAAAGTGGATTCACAGCCCTGTAGAATGAAACCGGGGCCTTAGCCAGACGTGGGGTCTGCACAGACAGCGGCTGCACCCCTCGTGAACTTGTCTCAATCTTCACCAGGCGGACACTCCGAGAAGAGTATTAAAAGTATTAGGACCATTTAGGGGTCTCCATTTAGGGGTGTCCATTGACTTCAGTGGGCTTTGGATCAAGCCCTTAGACATAGGAGCCAACTCCGTGGGTGCTCTGGGGCTGGAGCACCCATGGAAAAAATAGTGGGTGCTCAGCACCCACCAGCAGCCCCACAGATCAGCGCCTCCCCCTCCCCCCAGCACCTCATGCCCGCTGCGGATCAGCTGTTTAGTGGTATGCAGGAGGTGCTGGGGGGAGGGGGAGGAGCAAGGGGGGGTGTGCTCAGGGGAGGGGACTGTTGACCTGAATTTATGGGGTGCATGGCAAGGACACTTATACTGAGGACAATACCAACTTGTTAAGATCTTTATTAAAACGAATGAAAGAAGAATGAACGTTACAAAACGCAGAGTCACAAAGAAGTGATACAATTCTATGACCCCTGGTGGTAACATCTCTATTCTAAAAGACTACTTACGCTAGCACACGCACACCCTTCCCTGGAGACCTGGTAGTGAGAGACAGAGGACCAGCCTCGTCTCTGGCAGGCCCGAGGAACTGATGGTCCAGGCTTCCCAAATTGGTCGGGATTAGGTTTGAGTGTTGAGTAGCTAGGCTGTATTGCGAAGCTGAGCTGGTAGCTTGATAGAAGATAGGGAAAAGCGGCCCTTTTGCATGGTTCTTTGCCCTCTTATAGGGTCCCAGGACTGCCCAATGCCAGAATCTAGGCCCAGCCTACCATGCCCAAATCTTATTTCCTCACCCACATAAATCTTCGGGTGCACTTACACTATAGGTTAACATATTATGACATATATCGATACATATTAGTATCGATTATCTCATTCCTGAAACCCTTACCCTTGGCCTAACTCACAACTTCCATGTTCTGCCGTGTGCCCTGCGGTTACCGGTCTGCTCCAGACCTAAGGTAAACAGATTCAGTTCTTTGTTCGGTTCCCCATTCAATTCCTCAAAGTTAAGCGGGGTGACCGGTAGGCCATTTATCTGTGCCAAAGGTTACAAACACTTATACTGACTTGTTCTAGCTAATCATACAGGATACAGGCCTGTAGGCAGGGGCGGCTCCAGGCACCAGCGCACCAAGCGCGTGCCTGGGGCGGCAAGCCATGGGGGCGGCCTGCCGGTCGCCATGAGGGCGGCAGTCAGGCTGCCTTCGGCGGCATGCCTGCGGGAGGTCTGCCGATCCCGCGGTTTCGGCAGTGGGTACGCCAAAGGAGCAGGACTGGCGGACCTCCCGCAGGCATGCCGCTGAATCCGCGTTACCAGTGGACCTTCCACAGGCACGCCTCCGAAGGCTGCCTGACTGCCGTGCTTGGGGTGGCAAAATACATAGATCCGCCCCTGCCTGTAGGTTACTTGCGTTACAGCCAATTATTATGAATAACCATGAGTAACTCTTATGAATACCATAAACCTGAATTCCACATAAATAAAACCCAAGAAAATACTACGATTCACTAATAATAGGATATGATAACAAAATAATATGAATCAAACCAATAGGAAAACACATTATGCAATATAGCAAGCTAGCAAAGTGGCCTTATGGGCTACAAATTCCCCCTTTGATGCGGTGATTGCATAAAACCCCCATTACATAGAAGAAGGAGTGGATAGCAGATGTGTGGAAACAGGTTTTACATTACTTTCCACCCCTCGGGGTGAAGGCAGGACATCATAATGTTCTATCTCCTGATATATTTTTACCATAGGCATTATGGATACATATTTACCAGCATTGATATTTGTTGGCTGTACGGGCAATTGCTCTTTTCCCTTTAACTTGTTGATCTTACGTTGCATGTATGCTAAAGTGATGAAAATAATTCCTGTTGCAATACCTTGGACAATAATCCATCCCTTTAATCCAACTTCTTCCCAGGGCGCATTTACTGTCTGATCTCCCCCATCTAATAATTGGACAATAGCTTGTTTAACCTTATCCATGTCATTCGTAATTTGAATGAGGGGGGTTTCCTTCGAATTAATAATTGTTTTAATTGTAGTCCCAGAGGGGGAATATATACCAAAAATGCTGGAGTGTTTTGGACAGTTAAGTCCTGATAAAAGGGATTAGATAAAATAACGGTAGTGTTTTCAAAGGCAGGAATAGGGGAAATCACTTGATGTCCAATTGAAGTAAACTGCTTTGGAGTAAAACAGAAATTCGGATCTGTGACCTGACACTTTAAGGAACCAGTGATATTACCCCTGCCAATTGGTATTTAAAGGTGACCTCTTCCCCTCTAATTCCCTTAACAGATTGGATGGGATGGTGGGTGAACTCAGGATTAGGACCTAAATTCACAATTTCTAAGAGATCGTCTGTGTTCAATGGTCGAACAATTAACCTAATATATTTCCACCCGATACAATTATCAGCGAATTGACGGGAGGCTATACAGATCTCTGCTCTATACCTGCCTGTCATATGTGGGGGTATATCATGCATTCTCAATGTTGTTTCATTAG